GATATTCACAGAAAGCATCTTTTCAATCACGTTGTACCCAGAAAGATCTTAGTTCTTATTTTCATCATTCTCTGCGTGCGCTGCGCTTCCATTGTTGAGAAAATTTTCAATATGAGAAACTGAATAATAGGCGATTTTCCCATACTCAACTATTGATTGCTAATATTACTTTTATCCTCTCCTTGAGTTGCAGGAATTACTAAGTTTTGACCATCTAGGATATATGTCTCCAGCTTCCAAATCCAAGTCAAAAGACAGAAAGGCCGGGAAGGAACCTCCCAAGGGCTCCTTAAAGCCTTCCCTTCACATCAACAGCAGCTCTGGAGCCCCGGCCAGTGGGTACAACCCCCTGTCTGGAACATTCCACACATTCGACACCTCGCCCATCCCCACATCCAGCCAGCTCCCCACCAACACCCGTTTCCGCAACATGGATGATCCAGATGACCCCAACCCGTCCCTTAACGGCACTGAGTACGACTCCATCTCCAACAACGGCAGCTGGTCAGGCGAGTCTGAGGACCACCGTGAGAAACCTCCCCTTCCGCCCCATCCTCGCCCGGAACTGCCAGTCCCCGGCGCCGACAATGACAAGCGGGAGAAAATACGGCTGAAAAACGAGCGGAAGCACCAGCGCCAGAAGGAAAGGCGGGCCCAGGAGCTGCACGAGCGGTGCACCGGCTACCTCATGTCGAGGAAGCTAGAGGCCCTCTCCCAGCAGCTCGTGTCCATGGGCTTCCCCCAGGAGCGGGCCATGATGGCCCTCATCCTAAACGAGGGTCGAGTGGAGGAGTCTGTCGCATGGCTTTTCGAGGAAGACAATAATAACAGGCAGGAGGCACAAAGTCTGTATAATGGCAGTGGGGGGAATCTGAAGATCGACATCTCGGAAGAGCTGGCCCGCATAGCCGAGATGGAGGTTAGGTACAAGGCATCCAAGCAGGAGGTGGAACGGGCCGTGGTTTCGTGCGAGGGTGACCTCCAGCGGGCGGACGAGATGCTGCGTTCCCAGAAGGAGGAGGAGCAGCTTCCAGCCAAGCTCGAACAAGGGATAATTGGCGATCCTCCTACCGTGGCCAATAACGTCAAGCAGCAGCCTGGGCCCCCAGTGAATCAGAATCCTATTAGAATACAAGCGAAACCCACGGTGCCTGTGGCTGCCCAGCAGAAGAGGGAAGAGAAAGATTTCAACTACACTAAACCTCCCCCGACGGTGGGTCCCCCAGCTGACCCGGGGACCAAAAACGTGCAGGTGCTGAAGGTTCCACCTAAACCGGACTGGACAAAATCGCAGCAGGTTCCGGCCCCGACAGAGAAACGGTGGACGGGCGCAAGTGCAAGTGTGGGATCTCATAATAATAATAATACTAACAACACCAACAATAATAGTAATCCGTCTACTTCGTTTCCGCTATCATCATCGCCTTTGCTGGCTTCACTTCCCCCTGCCAAGACAGAGCCGCCTCGTTTCTTAGCTGTTGGGAACGAGTTGAAGAATTTACAGCTCGGGTCGGTTAAGGAGCCAGTCATGGTAATGCAGAGACCTCAACAACCTATCTCTACTGCAAAGCAAGCTCCACCTCAATCCTCCAGCACGAGCCTTGGGACGACCGCGGGCTGGTATTCCAATACCGTCGAGACATTGAGGCCCAACAGGCTCGACCCATCTTTTGCTGTTGCTAGAGCCGTCAACCCCGAGATTGTGAGCTCAGATCCAATGTACAGCCAGTTTCATTACCAACAACAGCAGCAGCAGCAGTATGTGTCCAATAGTAGAGGCCTTGCAGCTGCCTCGTCGCTAGGCCTGTTTTCAGGAGTAGGCACAAATGGGGGTCCATCCGGGTCTGTTGACTGGAAAACGGGTGGGTCCATATTGCATTGTGATTACGCAAACGTGGACTGGAGTTTGGACCGTGGGTTGTTGCCCCAAAGGCCCAATGGACTGTGGCCCGGGACAAGCTACCCTGTGCAGAATAATGGTTATGGGGTGAGGTCGGTCATGAGGCCTATTTTGTCCAGTGGGTTGTCCCACGGATTACCCGAAGTGGATTCAAGTTCTTGGGAGTGGAGTTCGCCGTTTGAGGAGAAGGATATATT